GATCTCCTTATGTTGTCTTATTGCTATTGCTAGAACTTCAAGCACTATATTGAAGAGGTATGGAGAGAGTGGACAGCCTTGTCGTGTTCCTGATTTTAGTGGAAAGGCTTTGAGTTTCTCTCCATTCAATTTGATATTAGCTGTCGGCTTGCTGTATATTGCTTTTATTATATTTAGGTATGATCCTTGTATCCCCAGTCTCTCCAACACCTTTATCATAAATGGGTGTTGAATTTTGTCAAATGCTTTTTCAGCATCCAATGAAATGATCATATGGTTTTTTTCTTTCAGTTTATTTATATGATGGATTACATTGATAGATTTGCGTATGTTGAACCAGCCCTGCATCTCTGGGATGAAGCCTACTTGATCATAATGAATAATTTTTCTAATGTGTTCCTGGATTTGGTTTGCCAGGATTTTATTGAGAGTTTTCGCGTCGATGTTCATGAGTGAGATTGGCCTGTAATTCTCTTTCTTGGTTGTGTCTTTGTGTGGTTTTGGTATTAAGGTAACTGTAGCTTCATAAAAGGAGTTTGGCAATGACTCTTCTGTTTCTATATTATGGAATACATTAAGGAGTATAGGTATTAGCTCTTCCTGGAAGTTCTGGTAGAATTCTGCATTGAAACCATCTGGTCCTGGGCTTCTTTTGGCAGGGAGATTTCTGATAATAGCTTCTAATTATTCACGACTAACAGGTCTATTTAGATTGTTCACCTGTTCTTGGTTCAACTTTGGTATATGGTACTTATCTAAAAAAATGTCCATTTCTTTTACATTTTCCAACTTTGTGGCATATAAACTTTCGTAGTAAGATCTAATGATTATCTAAATTTCCTCTGTGTCTGTGGTTATATCCCCCTTTTCATTTCTGATCCTATTAATTTGCATGTGCTCTCTCTGCCGTTTGATTAGTTTGGATAGGGGTTTGTCAATCTTGCTGATTTTCTCCAAGAACCAGCTTTTTGATTCATTGATTCTTTGGATTGTTTTCTCTGTTTCTATTTTGTTGATTTCAGTCCTCAGTTTGATTATTTCCACTCTTCTACTCCTCCTGGGTGAATCAGCTTCTTTTTTTTCTAGAGCTTTCAAGTGTGCTGTTAGGTCTCCAATGTGTGCTTTCTCCGTTTTCTTTATTTGGGCACCTATTGCTATGAACTTTCCTCTTAGCACTGCTTTCATAGTGTCCCATAGGTTTGAGTATGTTGTGTCTTTGTTTTCATTAAATTCAAGGAAGACTTTAATTTCTTTCTTAATTTCGTCCTTGACCCAGGGGTGATTTAGTAGTTGACTGTTCAACTTCCATGAGTTTGTTGACTTCCTTGTGGTAGCATTGTTGTTGAATTCTAATTTTAATCCATGGTGATCTGACAAGACACAGGTGGTTACTAATATTTTTTTGTATCTGTGGAAGTTTGCTTTGTTACCGAGTATGTGTTCAATCTTCGAGAAGGTTCCATGAACTGCAGAGAAGAAGGTATATTCTTTCCTATTTGGGTGGAGTGTTCTATAGATGTCTGTTAAGTCCATTTGATTCAATACCTCCAATAAATCTCTTAATTCTCTGTTTGGTTTCTGTCTGATTGACCTGTCCATTGGTGAGAGAGGAGTGTTGAAGTCTCCTACTATTAGCGTCTGTGGTTTGATGACTGCCTTGAGTTCTAGAAGAGTTTCTTTTACATATGTGGGTGCCTTTATATTAGGGGCATAGATATTCCGGATTGAGACTTCTTCCTGATGAGTTGTTCCTGTTATGAGTATGAAATGTCCATCTCCATCTCTTCTGATTGATTTTAGTTTGAAGTCGATTTTGTTAGATATTAGAATGGCCACACCCGCTTGTTTCTTAGGTCCGTTTGCTTGGAAAACCTTTTCCCAACCCTTTACTCTGAGTAGGTGTCTGTCTTTGTGGTTGAGGTGTGTTTCTTGTAAACAGCAGAATATTGTATCCTGTTTTCATATCCAATCTCTAAGTCTGTGCCTCTTTATAGGTGAATTGAGTCCATTGATATTAAGAGATATTAATGACCATTGGTTGTTGACTCCAGTCATTTTGGGGGGGGGTAATAGAGTGTATGTGTTTTCCTTTGAATTGTGGTTGTGAAAGGTCGCTAGATGTCTGAATTATTGTAGTCAGTGTTGGCAATGTTGGATTCCTTGGGATGTAATTTTCCTTCTAATATTCTCTGTAAGGCTGGATTAGTAGTTACGTATTGTTTAAATTTGTTTTTATCCTGGAATATTTTGTTTTCTCCGTTGATAGTGAACGAAAGCTTGGCTGGGTATAGTAGTCTGGACTTGCATCCATGGTCCCTTTGTTTCTGCAGTACCTCTATCCAGGACCTTCTGGTTTTCATGGTTTCTATAGAGAAGTCTGGTGTAAGTCTGATAGGTTTACCTTTATAGGTTACTTGACCTTTTTCCTTTGCAGCTCTTAATATCCTTTCTTTAATCTGACTGCTTTGTGTTTTGATTATTATATGGCGAGGGGATTTTTTTTTCTGATCCAGTCCATTCGGTGTTCTGTATGCTTCTTGTACCTTCATAGGAATATCACTCTTTAGGATGGGAAAGTTTTCTTCTATAATTTTGTTGAATATATCTTCTGGACCTTTGATCTGCAATTCTTCTCCTTCTTCTACTCCTATTATTCTTAGATTTGTTTTTTTTTTATTATGTCCCATATTTCCTGAATGTTTTGTGATGAGAATTTGTTGGATTTGCTGTTTTCTTTGGTCAGGGCGTTTATTTTCTCTATGGTGTCTTCATAATCTGAGATTCGTTCTTCTATCTCTTGTATTCTATTGGTTATGCTTGATTCTGTAGTCTCCGTTCGTTTACCTAGATTTTCCATATCCAGCCGGCCCTCGGTTTGTGTTTTCTTCACTGCCTCCATTTCAGTTTTCAATTCTTGAACTGATTCCATTACCTGTTTGATTGTTTTTTCTTGGTTTCCCAGGGTATCATTTACGAATTTACTCATTTCTTCAAACTTTTTGTTATATTTGTCTTCCATTTCTTTACTCATTTCTTCCATCTTTTTGTTATATTTCTCTTCTATTTCTTTAAGTGAGTTATTCATACCCTGTTTAAGAGAGTCTATTGCTTTCATAATGACACTGTTTTCCACTTCTTCCGGAATAGGGCGTTCAAGTTCTTCTGTCGTAAGATCGCTGGGATCTGGTGTTTTCATGTTGTTTTTCAGATTGTTGGAGGAATTCTTGCCTTGGCGCCTGCCCATCTCTTCCTTCAGATGCTCTCCAATGGCTCTTCCCTCCGCTGGGTCTTCTTCTACTGGATTAGTGCCCCCTTGCTATCCAGGAATCGCTTTGCCTGCAGCCTTAGCTTGCTGCAGGCAGGCTATTAGAACAAAGGGACTTCCTTCCCTTTGCACTCACCGCCTGTCCCGACCCGCGGTGCCCACCCCGGCTGAGATGGAGGAATTTAAGCCCCGAAAAAGGGAGAGGGGAGGGGAGGGGTTCCAGGCAGAAAGCTGGGATGGCGTAGCAGGAGAGAGGGATTAGCTGGGGGAAGCTCAAATTTTTACTTTTCTATGTTCTAAGAAGCATTAACGTGAACTTACTGGCTGGGAGATAATATTTGCCATTCTCATATCTTGTAAAGGGCTAGCACGTAAACTATATAAAGGCTCTCAGAACTCAGGAGTTATTTCAAGCAGCTCAATTAGAAAATGCATACAGGCCTGGTGATGATAGCACATGCCTTTAATCTCAGCAATTAGGGAGGCAGAGGCAGGTGAATCTCTATGAGTTTGAGGCCAGTGGTGACTGTGTGGTGACTTCTGGGACAGTAGACATACACAGAGAAATCATGACTCGAAAAACATAGATAGAAGAAAATGAATAAAGATTGGTGACTGAAGATAATGTACAAGGGCAAGGGCAAGTGAGCACATGCAAAGATGTTCAGAGTCATTTACTATTAGGGAAATGCACAAGGAAAGTCCGTTCTGTATCTTTCAGAATGCCTAAGCTAAGGATCAATGGTAACACCAAGTGTTGTCAGATTCCTAAGGAAACTGGTCACTTACACTTTGCTAATGAGAATCATAGCCTTTCCAGAAAAGAGCACAGTAGCATCTTACATTTATTTGTAGGAGTCAAACTAAAATCTTCTCAATATCTTTCAATGGATGTATGGTTAAGTAAACTATGATACATCTATACTGTGACACACAGTTCAGTAATAAAAATGAGCAAATTATTAATATATATAAAAGCTGAAAGATTATGATAGTAACTAAAATCTGAGCCTGCATCAAAGTTATATGTTGCATTATATAATATTTATATGATATTCTGAAAACAAGAAATTTGTAGTAATGATGAATAGCTAGCAGTTAGTGGTTTTGAGGAGTTAGAAATTGGGCAGAGTTGGAACATACTGTGGCTGGAAGAGGAGCACATGGAATCCTGTGATAAAACTTCTTTGTATTGAAGGGGCCATCATCACTGACTAAAACTTAAGTACACACACAAATAACTAAACACAGTTCCGAGTAACATCCGTGGGTTTTATCAATGGAGATTTCCTGGCGGTACGTAGTATTGAACTGTAACTATTGAAAATATTGTCCCCATAGGAAAGTAGGTACAGAATATATGTATACATTACTTTTTCAGTTTGGGATTATATATTATGTGCTTTCCCAAGATCAGTGAAACTGATTGACTGGATGGGAATTTAACAGAGATAAAAACTCAAGCATGAAGAATGGAGAAAAGCTTAGTGTCATAATTGATGAGTTTTGTGGGGCATTAATTATCTAAAATGTCCATATAACACTTCTGACTTTCCTTCATTCATGTGCATTCTTTACCTTCCTAAGGACACAAACTTCAACATGTATTTCTACAATGTAGAATCAAATTGTTAGAATATGAGTTTATGACGCACTGTTTCATTATGCAACAAAATGCTCATGCCCAGAAAATCATTAAAATGAATTGCTAACAAATGTTTCATGTACTTTTCAGGCTGTCAATATAGTTGGGGTTGGAATGTTTGGAGGAACTGGAAAAGTAACTACACCAGGAACTGTACCCGCCATAGTTCCAATGTTACAAGAAGTTGAAGACAAAGTTCCTGCCAAACTGTCCTCATCTTGCATAGCTATCCAATGGGAGGAGCCAGACTGCCATGGCTCTCCCATCACTGGATATAACATTGAATATGGAGATAAAAAAATCTTGACTGTTGATAGAGTAACAGAGTATGTTCTGAAAAATCTACAGCCTAATACTACATACAGGTAAGTCACTCATATCTTACTTTGGGGACATGGAAAGAATGTTGAGAATTTTGAGCAGACCTGCATTTGTGTATTTAATACACTTCAGATTTCTTTTGAAAAGATTTCTGCTTCATTGGCAAAATTTCATATTAGTAAGAACCATTTCTGCTCATCAGTAGTTTTCAATAGTAGTTCTATCATGGAAACCTGTTTTGTAATCAGTATAATAGTCATTCTATATAGAGATAGAGTGGGTTGGCTTATATGAAGAAAAGTATTCCCTCTACTAAATATAAATTCATATATTTTAATTTATTTTTACCTCTAGAATCAGAATTCAAGCTATTAATCATTATGGACTAAGTCCTTTTAGCCCACCAATAAGAAGCAAAACCAAACCAATACTACCAGAGCCTCCACAGCTTGATTGTGTGGTCCAAGGACACCAGAGTCTCAGACTCAAATGGGGCAATGTCTCAAGGAAAAAGTCACATGCTAACATTATAAGCTACAACTTACTAATGGAAGATCGATCTGGCAGGTAACCACTTTTACCATTTAATGTCTACTGTATTTAGAACACTTTAAATTATTATATCTTCCCAGCCATTCTCTCTCTCTCTCTCTCTCTCTCTCTCTCTCTCTCTCTCTCTGTCTGTCTCTGTCTCTCTCTCTGTCTGTCTCTGTCTCTCTCTCTCACACACACACAAACACACACACAAACACACACACACACACACACAAAGGTTTTAATCTGTAGTTTCAGTGAATGAAGTAGACATGAAAAGAACATGTGGCTGTGTGAAACATAATACTTTCAATTCTTGTCCATGGATAAGGTGTGTATTTTCCCTTCTTCCTAACCAGTTTTCCTTTACTTTATGCAATGTAAGTACCAGAGAACAGAAGTTATGGAACAAAGAGAGAAAACTTGCCGCCCTGACAGTATTGATCTTGTGACTTGATTTCTTTTTGCCTTTTTTGTTTGTTTGTTTTCCCTTTTGTAACATGAGGGCCTGTTTGTTGGGATTTCAGTCCTGCCCTGTTCCTGCAGCCATTTAACCCCAAGGAAAATCACACAGAGAGTCTACATTAGATATAAACTGATTGACCCATTAGTTCAGGCTTCTTATTAACTCTTGTAACTTATACTAACCCACTGTTCTTATCTATGTTAGCCACATGGCTCAGTACCTTTTTCAGTGGGGCAGGTCACATCCTGTTTCTTCGGTGATCTGGGGAGGACTGGCAGAGGGAGCTTCCTGCTTCCCATAATACTCCTGTTCTCATCAACCCGCCTCTATTTTCTGTCGTGTTGACCTGCCTTTACTTCCTGCCTGGCCAATCAGCGTTTATTTAAACATGATTGACAGAAGACAGACAATTCTCCTGCACGCTTTCTGGCTTGGTTTGACTTTCTTGGGGTCAACTGTTGATTATAACATTGCTTCCCTAATCTTTATCTTTTTCCTCTCAGATTTTCTGTCATTTACCACGGGCCTGATCTGACTCACAAAGTGCAAAAATTGAGTGAATATACACAATACAAGTTTAAAATCCAGGCATGTAATGAAGCTGGTGAGGGACCACAGTCTGATGTCTACACTTTCATGACAACAAAAACCCCACCTGGTGCTCTTAAAGGTAAATGATGCGCGCAGACGCTGAACATTTTCTTAGAGCTTCCTCGACACACATATGTAAGCAGTAATTAGAAAATGCTAAGTTAAGAGGGGCAGCAAGGCTCAGAAGGACAAATGCCACATGCACTCTCTCATGGAAATTCTGACTTCTAAATTTTATATAAATGTATTTAGGTGAGAGTCAGTATGGGTAGAGGTGAGGAAAGTAGAAATCATAAGACTAGGGGAGACTCTAAGGAAAGGGGTAGAAAGGGCATAAAACACACATGACATTAAAGTAGAAGGGGATTCAGGAGGTTGAGGAGTACAAGTAGTAACATAGAGCAGGAAACTGAGATGCACAGCCGATGGGGAACCGAAACAAACTCAAAATGTATGAAAACGCCATAAGAAAGTCTCTTACTTTCCTTACTGATTTAAAAATTAAATTAAGAGCCCTGGCTCCATTTGCTCAGCACCTGGGTTCAATTTCCAGCACCCACATGGCAGCTCACAACTGTCTGTAACTGCATTCCTGGGTATCTGGCTCCCTTATGTGGACATACATGCAGGCAAAACGCAAATGCCTATAAAATAATAATAAATAATAATAAATCAATTATTTAAAAAACAGTCCAGCACTAGTGACACATGCCATTAATCTGAGCACCCAAGGAGGCAGAAGCAAGCAGATCACTGTGAGTTCAAGGCCGGACTGGTCTACAGAGCAAATTTCAGGACAGGATCCAGACCTACACAGAGACACCATGTCACAAAAAACAAAAAATTTAAATTAAATTAAGTCTTGAGGCTAGATAGATGCTTCAGGGGTTAGGAGCACTGAATGCTCTTCCAAAGAACCCAGGTACAATTCCTAGTGTTTCATGGCAGCTCACAACCATCTCTATCTATACTTCCTGGAGATTCAATGCTTTCATCTGGTTTCCACAGGTACCAGGTGCACACATAGTGCAGACATAATTATATGTCATCCACATACATTAAATAAATAGATAATTTGAAATTTAAATTAAATCTTAAAATACCATAGTAATTTTTAAATTTACTAATAGAATAATAAAAAAGTAGTGCTTAATTGTATAATTAAGGAACAATGAAAAGATTTATCAAGACTTCAGGTCTAGTGGTGGTGGCACACACAAAATTTTATTCCAGCACTTGGGAGGCAGAGGTATGCAGGTCTTTGAGTACAAGGCCAGCCTGGTATACAAATTGAGTTCCAGGATAGCCAGGACTGTTGCACAGAGAAGCTCTGTCTCAGAAAAAGAAACATTTTTAAGGATTAGTAACACTCTGAAAATCAATATTTTTCAAATATCTTAGAGATCATCTAATTTTAGCACTGCAAATTTAAGAGTAAAACATGGAGCTGAAGAGAGGCCTCAAAAGTTAAGAACACTGGTTGCTCTTGCATAGGACCCAGGTTATGTTTCCAGCACCCATTTGGTGGTTTTCAAAAATCTGTAAATCCAGTTCCAGGAAATTAAATGCCCTGTCAGATCTCTGTGAACACCAAGAACACGCACTTGTACTCATACATATACACATGTGAAACACAGGTCCTGGTTTTCATAATGGTGTGCTGCCCACATTGTCATATCCATTCATTGCTACACATTATATTTTCTCAAATGTTTTCTCGTGAAAAAATTTATCAATTGATGGGTGTGTATATACTGACTAAAACTAAATTAGTATATTAACTTTAATCACTTTATTTCTAAAACTATAAATTTAAGCTCTTTATCGGTACTGTAGGATGTCCACCAGAGAAGTCTGTTCAAACAGGGGTTTAAGCCAATAGCAAGAATTTATTAGCAGGTCCAAAACTACACTAGGAGTTTTGGATGTTACTGTAGCACTGAGCCTTTCTTAGGGTGGGCTTTTAAGCAAAAAGCAAGCAAACAAACAAACATGGTCTGGATTGGCATACAGTTAACAAGAACAGTTACCTAGAAGCAGAACTACTGAAGCCAAAGAACATGGTTAGTACATTTAGAAACTTTCCCAGAATTATCACTTTGGTGGGTTAGGGCTTTGTTTTTAGTATTGGCAGGTGGTACTGTCGTAATGCTGAGTTTTACAGCCTGAATGGTTCTTCTATCATGGAGTCAGTTGTGCTAAGGTCTGGGGGCATGGTACAATCAAAACAGTAAAATGCTATGTATCACACTAACAATGAGTCCAAGTGGCAGGTCCCAGGTTTGAGGATTATTTTTCCCTCTCCCAGTTGTGATGTTTGGTTGATTCAATCTTTCCACATGAGTTCAATCACTATTTCTTTTTACTAATTTTATGTGAATTGGTGTTTTTGCTTGCATGTATGCCAGTGTGAGTGTGCCAGATCCCCTGAAATTGGAATAACAGATAGTTGTGAGCTACCATGTAGGTGCTGGGAATTAAACCTGTGTCCTCTGGAAGAGCAGCCCATGCTGTTAATTGCTGAGCCATCTCTCTAGTCCCCAAGTTCAATCACTAATATGAAACCATTCTTCTCCAGTGGAATGCTAACTGAAACACATTCAAATTAAATTAATTCTGCCTAGATGACAATAATGCTTTCTTCTTTTCCTGACTAATGTCCCTATATGTTTAAGCCCCATTTTCTTAAAATGTAGAGACTAACAACATGAAATGAATAGTGTACTCCTTCCAACCTCACACAGTTGTTGCACCCCTCGAATAAAATTACTTGTCCTTATAAAAATGTTTTTAAATGTAAAACATACCACATAAACACAATTCAGGTTATTCTAGAAGGAAAAAACAACATTTAAATTTATAAAAATATTAATAGAAAATCTAATTATGCATTATTAATTGATAACTTCATCAAGGTTTTGATACAATAATGATGCCTGATAGTATAACAAAGTAATTTCAGAATAAGTACTGTTCTGTTGGGTGTGGTAATGTACACCTTTATTGTCAGCACAAGACTAGTCTAATCTTTGTAGCAAGTTCCAGGTCAGGCATAGCTACATAGAGAAACCATCTCTCAAAATACATAAATATCTTTTTAAATATGGTTACATATTTCTCATGTTAGGTCTACATGTGCTTATAATGATTGTGTGGTTTGAGTCATTTTGATGTATTCGGCATCATGTAGAAAAAACTAGAAATTTTTAAATGTAACTTTCCTTTTCCAGCCCCTAAATTACATCCACTGAAAAGCAACAGTTGTGAGATCAAATGGGATTCCTTGGAGCCGATTAAAGGTGATCCCATTATTTACTGTCTTCAAGTCGTCATTGGAAAGAAAGCTGAACAGGTATATTCTTTCACATTTAGTCTCTAATATTCTGCCAGGCACGATAGATAGCTCCCGATTGTAGCCTCAGCACTTGACGGGTAAACACAGGAGGATGAAGGTACTCTTTGGTTACATAGCAAGTCTGAGGGTATTCTGGGCTCTACGAGGTCTTGTTTGTTTTGTAAGTAGTATGCTGGTGGGAGTGTGCATCTTTATTACCAGCACTTGGGAGGCAGAGGCAGACAGATCTGTGAGTTCTAGGTCAGTCTGGTCTCCAAATCAAGTTTCAGAACAACAAGGGCTACACAGAGAAACCCTGTCTTGAAAGCAATTGTAGTTCTATATCCATCTGAAGTTAGAGCTTTTGAAGGGTAGTATGTTATTTTTAAAGGTGTTTAAAGTAATTAAATCTCATTCCAAAGTTTTATCTCATCTGTAACATTTATGTATATAATCTAGTTTATTCATTTAATTAGCTTATCACCTCTGAATTGTTTATTGTGTCTTTATTCCACTGACCACAATCCAAGATTCAAGTACTTACATAAAATAATTAAATCTCAGCAGCTGTAGGGTTTTCTTATGCTTTATTTAACATAATTATCTAATAAATACTGAACCCCTCAGTATTTAATAGAAACACTGTTACAAGGAGAGAGGAGCCCTTTGTTTGTCCCAGCTGCCCGGCTAGTTTACACCCAAAATAACCACACAGAAACTGTATTCATTAAAACACTGCTTGACCATTAGCTTTAACTTCTTCTTAGCTAACTCATATTAACTACATATTATTATATATGTAGTTATACTACATATTATTAATATAACTACATATTATTTTAACCCATTTCCATTAGTCTGTGTATTGCCACATGACTGTGGCTTACCAGCAAGTTTCTAACCAGCGTCTGTCTCAGGCAGAAGATCCATGGCATCTCTCACTCTGCCCTTCTTCCCAGCATTCAGTTCTATCTTCCCCGCCTACCTAAGTTCTGCCCTATCAAGTCCAAAGTGGTTTCTTTATTCATTAACCAGTGAAAGCAACACATGAACAGAAGATGTTCCTACACCATTTCCCCTTTTCTGTTTAAACAAAACGAAGGCTTTAACTTTAACATAGTAAAATTACATATAACAAAATAGGTATCAAATAAGAATTACAGTTATAATACTTATATTTACTTTATCTTTTATCATAACTAAGGAGAAATATAACTATAAATTCTTTAACTCCATCAAAGAATCTAGAAGGATATAATATTACCTAAGTAAACAGGAAGTACATTGAAAGCAACTTCTAAAACTCTAGAATTGACAGAGACATCTCACTGCCTCTACAATCACCCAAAGTTTTTCTATAACATTGGGGTATCTATCTTCAGTCTACTGACCCATAGTATCCAGCAAATTTTTCCATGAAGCAGGAAATTTCAAAGACAGTTCCGCCGATATTGGCAGTTTTCAGTTACTTTCATCTGTGTCCTGCAGAATGTCTCACAGACTCTTTCATAAAGCAGGAACCCTGAAGGACCATTTCTCCTTTAGGCAAGTTCAGAAGTCATCTCTCTCTGGGTACTGCATGTCCAGTGAAGCAATCCAGGCAAGAGCAGTTTGTTGCCCAAATGGCTACCAAACTCCATAAGGAGCCTCTTTGATGTCCATCTTCCTCTTGAAGTAGCTGGTGCTACCAGGAGCAGATGTGTCTCATTGTCATGAAAAACCCTAAGTTATTAAAACATTTTAAATGCCACATTCTATAGTCTTTGAAAGATATGAAGAATGCCTATCCATATGAAATATATCTATGCATACCTAGAAAATCTAACTAACATGACTATAAGCTTGACTATTATAGATGATTATCTATTAACCTATATTTCTTAATTATACATTACATTTTTAAATGAGCTACACAATCACAATACCTTAATCAAGATCAGAAATATATATACATATAACAAAATTGACCTTAAATTTGTATCAATAAAGAAAGATCTATATCAATGAAAATTATCCATCTCTATATCATATCCCCCTTTAAATGTAAAAGAATATTAATAAACAATATTTGGAAATACATGGAGTTAGTTGATCACGTTGAAGGTGCCAATTGTTACAAGGAGAGAGGGGCCCTTTGTTTGTCTCAGCTGCCCAGCTAGCTTACACCCGAAATAACCACACAGAAACTGTATTCATTGAAACACTGCTTGGCCATTAAGTCTAACATAATTTTAGCTATTCCATATTAGTTTAACCCATTTCCATTAATCTGTGTATTGCCTGTGACTGTGGCTTACCAGCAAGATTCTAACCAGTATCTGTCTCAGGCAGAAGATTCATGGTGTTTCTCACTCTGCCCTTCTTCCCAGCATTCAGTTCTGACTTCTCTGCCTACCTATCAGGTCCAAAGCAGTTTCTCTATTCATTAACCAATGAAAGCAACACATAAACAGAAAAACCTCCTACACCAAAACACTGAGTAAAATTTTACTTTTGCTGTGAACATGTTCATTAAACTAATGAATTTTTGTTTTTCTTGTTAAAAAATGCACAACATAGTTTTAATTAGAAAGAAACTATAATTTTCATTTGATCCCTTTTCCTTTAGATTTACAAAGGACCGAATACCACCTTTTCCTTTTCCAACTATCTTGCAAATTCAAGATATCGCTTCAAGGTCTGTGCCGGACGCCAATATGAAAATTCTGATGGCGTGCAAGAGCTCTGGGGGCCGTATAGCTCCAGCTCACTTTTGTCAACTTATAAGCATCAGTCTGGGCATGGCAAAGGGAGTGGGGGGAAAGGAAGAGGCAATCACAATGACAATGAAAAGTACAAGACAGAAATGAGTGATGATACCTTTGTTCTAACTCTTCTGATAGGATTTGCACTTATTGCCATTTTGTGTGCTGTTGCCATTCAGTATTTTCTAATCAACTAGTCTGTTCTTTTAGGAATTAGGAAAGCACACTACATCAAATTTAGAAAACCTTAGATACATTTTCACTCATACTTAAAAATAAAGATTACTGGTAGAAACTAGTAACAGATAAAGAATGCTGCTTATGATTTAAGAACTTTTAATGAGGCAGTAGAAGAAAATTCTTAAGGAAATTCCATCATTGTGTCAACAAAACTATACATTGTTGGGCAAAACGAAGAACTTTTATTGAACTATTTCCTGCCTTAAATTTTCAAGTCAATCTTTTCCAAAAGTTTTGAGACTATGAGATAACAGCAGTGTTCTGGAATTTTATTTGGAAGAAAATGATAAAAATTGATTTTACATGTCCAGTTAAATATCCATACGAAGAAATAAAAAGTATCTACCAAACTTTTGTGCTCTCTTTTGTTCAAAATAATGTATTCAGCAATTGGTTTCTACCCTGATAGTTTGAGTACTAGCAGGAGTTCTCTAAAGAACAGAAGTGACAGAGTGAACACATATACTAAAGGAGGATGCAATAGACTGCCAGACAGTATAGACTGCCTCCGAATAGTCCACCAATGTCTATCTCATGACAGAAAGGCTAAGAATCACTAGTTGTTTCACTCACAAGGCTGGATGTCTTCGCAGTCCCAGTGAGGAGCTGGAGCCTGGAGGATTCCTAGAGAAATGCAGGTTTTCAGACTACGTTAGATCCTGAAGAAGCTGGATTTAATACTGGACATAGCAACAGGATAGAAAAACATGCTAGGAAGAGTGAGGGAAAGCAGGCAAAAAGAAATACTTCCTTCTTCTGTGTCCTTTGATATGGGCTACCGCCAGAAGGTGTGGCCCTGATTTATGGTGGGTCTTTCTGCTTCAAATAATCTAATTAAGAAAATCCCTCAGAGGAGTGCACAGGAGTGTGGATTTAGTTGAGTCTTACTGTAGTCAGGTTGTCAATCAAGATTAGCCATCATGCTTTGAAAGTGGGGAAATAGTACTTTATAACTCTTTGCTGTAATAGGAAATTAGGGAAAATGGGAAATGACGTGAAGAACTATTCTTTACCACTGTAAGCTCCTTGAAATACATCCCTCTCATTGGTATTGTCAAGCATTATATACATACACAATTACCTGTATCCACATGTACACAGATTATTATAACATTGTATGCATACACTATACTCTATATGCACATGTGCACAGCATATTATAATTTTTTCCTCTCACAATAGATGGAGTCATATCCATTTCTAGTTACACATGAAGTATCTCATGTCAGTTCCCACAGTTCATACTCTGGGAGTTTTTCTCAAAATCTGTCAAGAAATTTACTATGCTCACGATCTGAGTATTGCTGTGAAGAGACACCATGACCACAGCAACTCTTATAAAGGGAAAATTTAACTGTGGTAGTGGCTTGCAGTTCAAAGGTTCAGTCCATTATCATCATGGTAGGACAAGGCAGCATGCAAGAGGACATGGTGTTGAAGAAAAAGCTGAGAGTCAGTGCATCTTGATCCAAAGGCAACTGGAAGTGAAACGAGACTGAGAGTGGCTAAAGCATATATGAGATCACAAAGCCCAGCTTCACAGTGACACACTTCCTCCAACAAGGCCACACCTACTCCAACAAGGCCACACGTCCTAATAGTGCCATGCACTTTGAGGGGCATTTTCTTTCAAGCCACCACACACACTGAAAATGTTTAAATGCTATCTCATATTTCATTGGCTTTATTAATGCTTTAAAACAGTACTTAAATTCAATATGAAGATACCTACCACTGACAATTTTGTCATATTCTATGACATATCATTTTGTTGGGCACTGGTTAGCAATATTAATGATAATATAAAAGTTCCAGTAAATTTTGATAGACATGGGCTCAGTCTTGCTTCTCTATATGCACCATGACTGCCATCATGTAACAGGTAACATTTTATTTCCACTAAACAAATAACTGTTGGTCCATAAGACAAGTACAACAAATCCAGTTCTACATACATTCCACTTGTTTTCTCAAACCCTTATCATAGATTAGATAATGGAGAAGAAAAGTTATTAAACAGTATTTCAGCACTATCTATAATAAATGTAAATTATTTAAGAATTTGTTGCTGATAATAGGTACATCATTGAACATTACTTGGCCATAAAGAAACAACAACATCCTGCCATTTGTAGCAAAAATGTTAGAACAGGACAGACTATTAATTGAAATAAGCCAGAAACACAAAGAGAAATATGTTGTCCATATACGAAAACCTGAAGAACTCAGATTGTAGAGCAATGGGGATTAGGAAGAGAAGAAGGAAGGATAGAGGTTGCTTAAGGGGTATTGGAAAGAAGACAGAAGTAATGGTTCATAGTGATTCACAGCATAGTGAACTAAACAATAGAATGTTGTGAAGAATTATAAGAGAGGCTCAAAGGCTGAAAGTATAAAAAAGTCAGGCCAATAAGGAGGTTCAAAATGTGTCTTATAGATAGTAACATGGTTTTATCAGTGTATACTGCATACATATGTTAATGTATCACACTGTACCCATATATATGCATATATTTACAATTATTAAGTGTTAATAAAGTGAATTAACAATTGAAAGTATTCAAATGAAGCAGGGAAATGCATTACAGGGTTGTCAGAAAGATGACAACTGAGTGAGGTGGTCCAGTGGTCATCTGCTCTGCAGACACCAATTTAAACAGTGATCCATGAACCTATCTGGGTGCACAGGCTCCCAGGAGGTCAGGGAAAGTCTCAATGTTGCTGGTCCATAAAAGAAACAGTGAAAGAAGCAGAAAGGAAAGAATTGCCTGTGGTACCCCCTCCCTCTCCTCCATGGAGTTCAGCTGAAGACGCCTCCCACTTGGGAAAGAGAATTAAATCCAGACTGTAGACCTGAAACCCAATGCCAGGCAGGGACCCATAACCCCTGTTCTCAGGTCTGTATCCTCAAACTGAGCATCTGGCCCCTTCCTAGCATAGTAACTAAAGGACCACGTGCACCAGCCCACTCTCAACCTCAGACAAGAGAATCTCACCCGCTGAGGTTCAGAGAAGGAAAGTGAGGATAAAACTTTTTCTTAGAGCTCAGTGCCTGGGCCAATACACTGAGTAAGACCTGGTACCTGACAGAGCCCAAATGCCCCTATCTCCCAGACTAAATTTTATAGATGGAACCTTAAGGCATTCCCGACACCAGGAAGGAACCTACTTTTTGGTGAGACTGACTTCCATGATACATGACCACAAACCAAGCACAAAGAAGTAAAAGTGAGTGCCAAGTCACTGCAAAGGAGCATAGACTAGCTCTCTATGATGAAGCCCAGGAGTAAGCAGAAATCTTCAGCAATGAATGACCTTGGCCAGTTGCCAGAGAAGAGGTGCCAGGGTTCATTGTAGCTCTGAGGGGAAGCTGTCAAAGATAGACTACCACTCTTGGGCACTCTCAGTTTGTTCTTAGCAAGACACCAAAGGCCGACTTATGACAAACAACGCTTGAGGTGCCCTCTAGTGCCCAAACTGCGAAATAGACCATAGACTGAAAAAAAATGGCCAACAGTTTCTGGATTGACAAAATCAGATAGTACAAATTTTTACAAGGTGCCCAGTCCTTCATTGAAGACACTGTGATACACCAACAAGCACCAAGAACTTCCATGAACCAGTACTCCACTTCCTGTGCAAAAATAAGACTCTAGAAATTGGGCCATTCAATTCCCAAGGGTGTCAAAGCCTTTGCCTGTCTGGTGGCCTTTGCAGTGTATAATAGCATCCCTTTGGATACTTCCAGGATAAGAAAAAACAGCACTCATTGATTGTGGTTGTTGGAGAAGGCTGCATGTTTGTTTCCAGGCTGCCCAGACTCCCAAATAATCACAAAGAAACTATACTATTTAAGTCACTGCTTTCCAATCACTTAAGCATATTGATAGCTAGCTCTTATATCTTACATTAACCCATTTCAATTGGCCTACCAGCAATGTTCTGGCTGTAGGCTAGCATCTTTCTCCTCTGGCAGCTACGTGACTTCACACTGACTCCATATGCTCTCCCTCCCCCCTTCCAGCCTGGTGCCATTGGCCAAACGCAGCTTCTTTGTTAACCAATTGCAGTATTAACTGACTTTTTTAAAAACATATATACAAAAGGACTTCCCACATCAGATGGTGATGGCCTTTGATGTAAAGAAATGTGATTGTCCCTGATGAAAACTATAATAGCCTTTTAAACTATGCTTTTAAAATAATTACAGAACTTTAAAAGTTTAAACAAAAAAGAAATGTGATTGTCTCCAAATTTAGGAGATGGAATGAAAGATGCTATATGTATATAACAGAGTCGTGAAAGAAGATTACAGGAGGGTACCAGGCTGAAAGTAGGACCCTGATAAGTGCAGTGAGCTCTACCTGCTGAGAAGTAGTCATAGCAAGGAGGAAGTTTGCCTGCTCTATTCACTAAGATTGAATGTAGATGAGATTCTTAAGATATCACTCAACAATGGGAACCCAACAAGGGGGAACCCTGAGGATGCTACCACCAATCAAGTTATTCAGAGTTGCAGAATTAGCAGTGGTACTGTGTTGGTGAAGACCCTTAAGGGCCTCATCTACTGTCATGGAGTAATTGTGCAGTGTGTGCTGGTCATAAGAAGCATGCTGTCTGTGACTGGGAATAGGGTGGTAGGGATACCTGAGGGCAGAGCTGTACAGAGTTTGTAGGGGATAGAAAGCCCTTGGGACAAGACTTGAGGCAAACAGAGGAAACAGAGGCAAGGACAGGAAAAAGCAGATGGATGAATAATAGTTTGAAGGCTGTGGGAATAACTGTTGCCTGAAGTTAGAGACATAAGGAAACAGGGCGTATATACAGCATCAGTTTCTTTACAGAAAGAGTCTACAGGTAGGAGCTAATCCCAGCAGTGGGCTACAAGAACTAAGACCCGATTCAAAGGCTGTGTGGGAGACAAAGGTGAAAAGCACATGGTGAAGAAAGCACCCTTGAGATTAAGAGAGTGAAGTGAGTTTTTGATAGTGTGGAGGCAGACAGTTGGATATGTGGGAACAAATAAACAGTTAACCCATTTGAAGGCCCTGTACAAGGTGGTACGAGGAGGAAATACAAAAGCAACTCTTCTATGTCTTGAAGAAGGGTGCTAATGGAGAAGAAAGGGACTTTGGCCAAGGGTCTCTGAAATATTGGATCCTTAGAATAAATGGGAAAAAAGACAGTCAAGGTAAGTTTTTGAAAAAAACTTGAGTCAAGAGTCAGATAAAGTATCACATGACTTGAGGTGGAGGGGCTGGTAAAGAAATATCCCTAGGTGGTCCAAGATT